GACAATGACTTAAATATGAGCCAGCAGTGTGCCTGTAGCTGCCAAAAAAACCAACACAGTTTTAGGCTGCATTAACAGAGGGATAGAATCAAGATCAAATGAAGTGTTAATACCACTTTATAATGCCTTGGTAAGACCACATTTGGAAAACTGCATCCAGTTTTGCAAAAAAGATGTTGGGACTCTAGAAAGTCAGAGAAGAGCAACAAAGATGATTAGGGGACTGGAGGCTAAAATGGTTGCTGGAATTGGATATGTCTAGTTTAATGAAAAAAAGGACAAGGGATGACATGATAGCAGTATTCCAATATTTCAGGGGTTGCCACAAAGAAGAGGGAGTCAAGCTATTCTCCAAAGCACCTGAAGGCAGGACAAGAAGCAATGGATGGAAACTAATCACGGAGAGAAGCAAGCTAAAACTAAGGAGAAATTTCTTGACAGAAAAATTAATCAGTGGGACAACTTGCCTTCAGAAGTTATGCATGCTCCAATACTGGAAGTTTTTAAGAAGAGACTGGACAACCATTTGTCTAAAAGGCATAGTGTTTCCTGCTTGAACAGGGAGTTGGACTAGAAGACCTCCAAGATCCCTCCCAACTCTGTTACTCTTTAAATCAGTGGTTCTCAACCTTTTTAATGCCGCGACCCCCAACCGGTCGTAAGTCGAGGACTACTCAACTGGTCGTAAGTCAAGGACTACTCAACTGGTGCAGCACCGTTTGCAGAATGGGACTTTTGGCGGGCTCAGCAGGGCAGAGACAGCCTGGACAATTCCTATTGGCTTTTGAAAGCCAATAGAATTAAACTCTATTCAAGAGAGTCTATTCTATTGGCTTTCAAAAGCCAATAGAATAAAAGGGAGTAGCACAGCTAAGGAAAAGGGGAAAAAAATGGCGGACTGCGTTGTCTGGCGACCCCCGTGAAATGGTCGTTTGACCCCAAATGGGGTCCCGACCCACAGGCTGAGAACCACTGCTTTAAATCATAGGATGGCATATGAAGATGGTCTAAAACTTGTCACTTGAGTGAAAGCATCAGTATTAGTTTTTACTTGAAAAACTATATAGAAACATAGCGTATGAAGTTGTCAACATTAGATTCTTGCAATAAGAACTTACCACTTTATCTAATTGGATCAAAAACAAGTCTAGAATGGTTTGGTACAGAAAAGGAAGCTAGAAAACCAGTGAGAAGAAAGCTTTGTTCCATTAAAGTACAAGAATTGGTGTACACCAAATTATCTGCAAAAGGATTTCAAGCTAAACTTTTTTCCTTGCAGGATCATTATAGGGCTTATTAACAAATGTTCACTGTTCCCAGAAAATAAGATACAAGATAGATTTTTTAAAATTCTTCCTACATAACATTAAAAATCGTAAGCTTAATGCTATGCTTTAGACAGAATGTTCTTATTGTGTACTCCACGTTCCGATCCTAAAGTTTCTGAAAAAATATATACGCAGATACAAAACTTAAGATTTCCTGAGCTAATTCAATGTTGTAATAGTGATATTCAGATTGTTTTACAATATTACTATCCTGGCAATTCCTGGTTTGGGGCTGGGAAGGATACAAAGAGTTCTTACTTTAAAGCACTGCATTTTGAGTTTGCTCAGACTGAACTGCTATGACTGAGACTATGTTTGAGATTATCTCAAGGTTGCATTATTGCTTTCTTGCCAGATGCATGAGAAATATAATGAAAGTAATTTAAAAGGTTTTGTTTTTAATTACGATACCTATGGATAGGCACATTTGCAAGATTTGTAAGTGGCAGATTTATAAGAATTGAATGTTGTGCTTTGAGTTGCTGTGTGGAATGGAGTATTACCTATCACAGTGATTACAGGCATTGGAGGAAAGAAGAGATTATTAGAAATAGAAGGAATGTGTAACTGATGCTCCAGCAGGAACAGGGAGAACTGGGAATACAGATCAGTTAAGTAGAGTAGTTGCTAAAAGGGTTGGATAATGGAAAAAAGGAGTGACATTGGATGTCTAGAAGATGCCTGGAAAAAGAGGGGATTTTGCTTTTCTTCTCTTCCTCAATACCTTGTAAAAAAGGCTTGGCTTACAAAAATGAAGTAAAGTGAAGTTGTCTAGAGAAGGCATTAACAAATATCAGTGTTTAATTAAACAACTGTATGACTAAAGGAGGGGAGTCAAGGAACTTCAAAGAAGCTCCATAAATTAATGTATATTAGATTGTCAAGCTAGACATGTAGTTAAAGCATGCACAAGCACAACAGAGATAACTATATATTACAAATACAAACAAATTATTTTGTTTGCAATACAGCAATAAACATTATTTTAGTCGGAAGAACATTCCGTTTGAATTAGTTTCTGTTCCTTTTCTACTTCCAAGAGTTTGCAACAGTTGTTTTGCACATAGTCTCAACCGTTCTGGAAATGTTTCAAGCTTGGAATGAAGTGTTTTGAATTGGACAGAGATATTTTCAAGCTCAAAATGCTCCCAGAATGACTGGCACAGCCCATTTCAAAGTTGAAAGTGTTTTAAATTTAAAAAGTTTGCAGTCCATTATTAGCATTTATATTTGTTGTATGTTCCATTTAAGGACAAGGGTTGCTTTATTTCATTATTTGTTTATTTGAAATTTCAGTTATATTTACTGCCTATTATCGGCTGATAGATTTAACTAGATAATACATTATCATGCATATTTGTTGAATGATCCCACCTAAAAGAATGTAACATTTAAAACAGCATTATGGGAAGGAGGAAATTAGATGACAAGAACTTTGATATAGGAAGCCCATTCAACATTTTGATCCTATCATGGAGGTTTCCTATCATGTTTGGAAGAATTCCAAGTTGACAAGTCTACTCGTCTGGGGTCAGCTGTCCCATCAAAACCAAAACTGCATATAAACAAGCAATTATGGTTTAAGGTGCTGGCCTAGAAACTGGTACACTGTGAGTTCTAGTCCCAATTTAGGCATGAAAAACCAGCAGAGTGACTTTGAGCAGCCACATTCTTTCAACCTAACTCACTTCACAGGGGTGTTGTAATAGAGAAAATAAGAGGAGGAAGACTAAGATGTTTGACACCTTGAGTTGTATATGAAAAAAAATTGTGGGTTAAAAAAACCCCCTCAGAATTGGTTTTAAATAATAATTTAGATTTTGCATAATGTCTGAAATGGACGAATGGACTAGATCAGGGGTAGGCAACCTTGGCTCTTTTATGACTCGTGGACTTCAACTCCCAGAATTCCTGAGCCGCTCAGGAATTCTGGGAGTAGAAGTCCATGAGTCATAAAAGAGCCAAGGTTGCCTATCCTTGGACTAGATAGTCCTCGACTTATGACCACAACTGAGCCCAGAATTTCTGTTGCTAAATGAGAAATTTGTTAAGTGAGTTTTGACTCATTTTTCTTGCCACTTGTGTTAGGTGAATCACTGCAGTTGTTAAATTAGTAACATGAACTTGGCTTCCCCATTGACTCTGCTTGTCAGAGAATTGCAAAAGATGATCACATGATCCCAGGACATAAATAGGTTCATAAATATGAACCTGTTGTCAAGCATCCAAATGTAAATCACGTGACCATGGGGATGCTGCAACGGTCTTAAGTGTAAAAAATGGTCATAAGTCACTCTTTTCAGTGCTGTTGTAACTTTGAATAGTCACTAAATGAACTGTTGTAAGTCGACGACTACCTAGTCGAAGACTACCTATGTAGGTCAAAATGACAATGTTATGAAATATAAATTTGTATTTTCTGTAAGCAATCATTTCCCCCTATATTTTAATCAATTTGCACATTCCTACATCAGTAAAGTACAAGGGCAATTTGGAAATAAACCTCTGTTTGGTTATCAATGACAGACACTTACAGATACAGTACTTTTATTATACACATTAGAAAACTACATTACATTACTTTTTGACATAGTCGCCATTCAAATTGAGGCACGTCATAACGTCTTACAAGGTTTGAAATTCCTTAGTAGTAGTCGCTCGACGCCAAATCTGGGCTATAAGGGGGGTGATCAAAAACATCCCAATGGAACTGCTTCAAAAGTTCTTGGGTGCGTCTAGCGGTGTGCAGGCGTTATCGTGAACCAACAGCACACCGGAAGTCAGCATGCCCCGATGCTTGTTATGGATGGCTCGTCTGAGCTTTTGTAACATTTCACAGTAGACTTCTGAATTGATGGTCGAACCACGCTCTATGAACTTCATTAGCAGTACTCCTTTGGCATCTTCACATTTGGCGGGATCTTCTATGGCACCACTTTCAGAGTGGTGCTGGTTCACAATAATGCTCGCCCACACACCGCTAGATTCACCCAAGAACTTTTGAAACAGTTCTGTTGGGATGTTTTTGATCACCCCCTCCCATAGCTCAGATTTGGCGTAGGCGACTACTACTAAGGAATTCCAAAGCTTGTAAGACATTATGACAAGTGCCTCAATTTGAATGGCGATTATGTCAAAAAGTAATGTAATGTTTTAATCTTCTAATGTATATAATAAAAGTTCTGTATCTGCAAGTGTCTGTCATTGATAACCAAAGAGAGATTTATTTCCGAATTGCCCTCATAAATTTACTTGTTCAGCCAGTATTTTTAATATAGAATACCTAGTTTCAAATAGCACGTTGAAAGACAATGTAGGTAAAAAACAAACAAACTGCAATTTTGGAAGCATATGTGGTTGATGGGTTAAGGATGTTGCATCTCCTCTCCTTTTCTCCCAGAATAAAATACCTTTCTAGTGGATGCTTCTATGGATATTTGTGCATCCTTAACACACTGTATCAGAGCACTATGTTACTGAAGAATTCACATGTTTCTATAGTATTGCTCTTGGAATGCTGAATTCTCAAAAGAAGTCTTCAAATTGTGATACCTTTTACCCAAATAAATATTGGCTTACTCCATTCAATGGTAGAAATCTATTTCAGTGGAACGTGTGTGTAAAATAAAGCTGTAATTCAATATATAAAAATAACACTGTACTGCAACATACCTCATTGCCACATTGCTGCCATCAATAACTATTGGCCTCAGGTTGTCACCATCCACAAGAACATCCTCTTGAAGGGGAGAGTCAGATCTCTGAGAATCAATGGAAGATGCTTCTCGCATTACACTAGTGTTAATAGAAATTACATTCTGATCTGCCTCAGTTTTATTTCCAAGTTTGACAAGTTCCCCCAATATATCATTGATTAAAGCATCAGTACCAAGTTTATTCAGCACAAGTTGAATTTGTTCTTCAGAGTAACCTAACTTAAGCGCAAAATCAAGTTTGGTTTGATATTCTTTCACCATATCAGGTTTTTTAATTTCTTTAGATCCTATCTGAACTTCCTCCAACTTAATGTCTTGTAAAATTTCATTGCGCTTTAGAATATGTGGTTCTAAACATGAATACTTTTGTCTGTGATCCTTAGATAAAGAGCATGGTTCTGTTCTAATTTTAGCTGCTTTTCCCAATTCATTATCAGAATTTGTATTTTCCTCAGAATCACAACTGAAGCTTCTGGTTTCTTCAGACAGTTCTTTCTTAGGATCCTCTTTTTTAGAATTAATTTTATCCATAGTTGGTTTTTCTATCATTGACCAAGGTGCAATTGCACTTATTTGAGTCTCTGATGTATCCTCATAGAGGTGTCCGAGGTCATGCTTCAAGTGATCCTTCAAGCCCATGAAGTTGCCGCATGTGATTGACTCCACTTTGTTGGTTTTTCTGTGTACAAAGTATCTTGTAGTTCTAAAAAAGAAACAATAAAGTTAAAACTAATTTTTGAAATGTACTTTGCAATTTTCATTTTTTTTAATATTGGATCCAAATTTTCTTTTGTTCACCTCATTAAGAAATGCCTGATACGCCCTGCATGCAAATATGACTTTGAGAAGCTTCCGAAATGAATATGTTCACAAAGTACAAAGCAATTTATGAGACTGAATGTCTACAAAGGCAGAAACAAAAAAAATAGAAACATTTCCTCTAATCTATAAGTAGCAGCAAGCAAAAAGGAAGCCTTCCAACACAAATTTTTAAAATCAGTTTCCATATATATAAAACAATACTGTATATAGGAAAAATGGTTATATATAGCATAAAAGGATGGGGGGGGAACTGAGAACAATACAGATTACTGGATTGGGAGTGAAAATAGAAAGGTACTCTTTTTCTCAACAAGTGTCCAACATTATCACATCTGATGACAACAGCCATCTGTTTGGCACAGGATATCCTCAGAAGCCTAAATCTGTGGATTAGGGCCAATGGACAAAAGAAATGATTTTTGTCCCCTCTTTCAAAAACATTTAAAAATTAGTCCTAGATTACTTGTAATCTAGTATGTAATTTTTACATACATGGTTGAAACTTTCCTGAAGCCCCAGGGTAATAGCAAAAGTTTTAATTTTGAAGCTTGAACTGTTCAGTCTGGAAATAGTGGTATTTTTAATGTGTAATGTTAGAAATGTAAGCTGTCTAAATTGTTCATCATGTAGGGAAATTGACTTTATAATTATCAGTAAAGATGTTCAAAAAGTTCATAATTTATTCCCAATGATCTATTTTTCTCCAATATTTTTCTTTTTCTTTGCCCAGCTATTAAAAAATAATTTCCAATATTATTTGTAATTAGATTTTTCCCTGATGTATATTACTATAAAATTTAACTGGATTGCATAGCTCATTTTAGTCTCTTTACAGAAAGTCTGCTTGTTTTCTTTAACTACTCCATTTTATTTCAAAGATGCAGGACTACAATAATATCAGTGTTGACAATGAAGACAGAAAAGGCTTAAGTTTATTAACATAACCTTTTGGTTCATTCAAATAATGCTATAGGTCAAATACATGGTTAATTCAGAAAGTAAAACTAAACAACATGATAATTTTCTAACTGCTGCAATTCCCTCAGTCCATTGCCACTGATAAATTACAACAGTATAAAAGAATACAGTTTAAACCAACACTTCGGTGGCCTTCATAAACTACAACCAAAATGTACCTTAGAAAAAGAAAAAGAGATGGAAAACTATGTTGCTTAGCAACTAGCTTTTCGTTGCTAGGATGCACTCCTTTAACAAGCTATCATGAATGCTAGCAGAGTGCAGGAATAATTTAGTATGAACAAAGCCTATAAAAAAGAAGGGGACTTAAGTGCGTGTCTGGTATACCCTTGGAGAACAATGCAGCTGCCAAATGAATCTGGAAGCTCCTACATCATTGTTCCATAAACCCTGCAAGCTGCTCTGATTGAAGGAAATTATTTAACAGGCAACATTTTTAAACTGAACTAAAAAGTTCAAATTGGCTCCTGTACTGCCGTAGTTAATAGTTAATATGTCGAGGTAATGGACCACTCTTCAAGTGCATGCATCATGCCAAAACTGCCTCGTACTGAAATATTTTCTTGAAGCAACAACCATCAATTTCAATTGGATTTCGGTAAGACTGGGTTCTATTTACACACTGTCATATAACACGGACATAATCAGAATGCAACTTCTTATCTAATTTAGAGCTGAAATTAAAAAAAAAGTTAAGAAAAATCTTACATTAGAAATTATTTTAGCTAAATAACTGTAACTGTGAAAACTGTAAATAAATGGAATTTACAAAAGTGGCCATTTCTAACAAAACACTCCCATATTTCAAATCTATAGATTTTATCGCTTCATAGAAAGTGGCAACAAAAACTTCATTTCTTTATTAAAATTATGTCCCACCATTCCAGGATTTCAACACAGCACTGTTTCCTCTATTCACCCATCCAGAAACAATCCCATTATGGTACAGATAGGGTTGAAAAAGATTGACTGTCCCAAAGTCACCCAGTGAACTTCCATAGTCAGAATGCACTTGAACTTGAGTTTTCTTGGGTTTTTTTTAGCACTTTAATCATTGTGCTTATTGGTTCTTATGAAATATTTAGAGTTGCAGTTAAATGTAGAATACTTTGGAGATAACATCTGCTGCACTGTATAGCACAAATAAACTACAGGCACATCAATTTTAAGTAACAAATAAATGCAGTGGAAACAGCTACTCATATTTTGCAATGGAAAATCATTGTTAATCTTTTAAATAATATATTGAAAGGGGTCTTACTAAAGTATGATGAAATCCAAAGAAGAATTTACATGAGGTCTGCTTATTATTTTGTCCAACACACATAGATCGTATCATCTATGAAAATTTCTGCCTTGACGCAAAAAAAATTACTAATATATTTGTCAGCATTTTACAGCAATTGTTTTCAATAGCAAGAATATCATGAATATATCTTGAATGAGATGCTACATAACCAAGAGATCTGAATTTTCAATAAGATTTCAATTAGAATATAAGACAAGTAATATACATATTGAAATACTAAATTACAAATTAAAATAATGAAAACAGTATGTAACATGTATCTTCTACAGGACTTTTAAGTATTTAATTACTCATGTATTTCAGAGAATGATGCAGACAACAGGCCTCATGCTAACAAAGGAAAGATGTCCACTTGAACAGATTGGTTAATGCTCTGGGGCAACAGATGTCTACTGGAACCACAGGAGATCAGCAACTGGTGGCCTGCCCATCTTCTGAAAACTTTCAATAGACTTATGCGTATGTTCACACAATAGGGCATGTGGTAGAAATGCAAACCTCTTTTTAACCCTTTCAGTGCCTCCATTTCCTTCCAACTGATCCTTTTTTTCTCATCTCATCCTAATACTTGAACACAAATAAAAAGCAAATCAAAATTCCCAGAATCAATATAGCACAAGCTGTAAGCTTCTGCACTCTCAGAACATTAATATCAAAATATCCTTTGATTTTAAGGGGGTTGAATTGTATCCTTTATAAAAGATTAGGAAATCATATTAACTTTAATTCATTCCTTAAACACTGATCTGACATCTTTCCCAGCTTTTCAGCCACTTGTTCATTCTACTAAACAAATGTCCTAAGTTTGTTAGTTGTTTAATTTCAGGCTAAATGCTATTCAAAATTATTCCAATTGTTGTGAGATTTGTACTATTACCCATTTCTATAACATTTCTTTATTTAAATGTACAAGATTTAAATAAGACTTTTCAAAATGTTATTGTTTGAAGTTATAGTTTTTACAAAGTTTCTTTCCGTTGATATTGCACTTAAATTCAGGCTGCAAAAGAATAAATTGGTAAATCTGAAAAAATTACAACATGATTCATCTCTTGCAAAGAAAAACGCTTACCTTCCGGCCAGTACAAAATACTGACGTTTTGCAGCAGTTCCAAAAGCACTCCTTAATACAACTTCAGCTTCAAACTTCCAGGCAGGCAAACAGAACAATGAATGGTTGGCCAGATGGAATAGGTTTTTGTTTAACCTATTACTGAGCAGAAGAACCACCAATCACGGTGCAGGAAAGGCTCACAATTAGTTGGCCAGGCAGATGCACGGCAAACTCTCCACCCTAGGTCAGGTTTGTAGATTTCTTGCTTTCTAAGAGAAGCAAGCTGATGTCATTCTTAGGTCTGCCCCTGGCAGCATGTGTAATAATAAGGGGTGTGCTACAACAATAGCCCATACAAAAGAGACTAGCAGGCAGCTGCTGTATGAGAGCCAGAGTCATTAGAAAACAGCCTGCCAACAAGAAACACCTGGCCTAAGCAGACTTCAGCTTTTCCTCATTGTTTCTAATTCATGAAACAAAGAAAAGGAATTATTTCTGAGTTGCAAGGAGTGTTCAAAAAAACAAAACTCAAACAAACAAAAAACCCCATAGCCTTGTCACAAATAACTTTCACTTCTACTGGAAGAGAATGGTGCTGGAGAGGTGGCATACTTTTTATCTGCATTCTCTTCCAAGTTTAAATTGGAAAATCAAACAGGGGCAGTTATAAAAAGTGCAGAAAGGCATCGACACAATTTGCCAAAGTGTCCTTTGTTAATGTGTTGTTAATGTGTTTGAATAGTTTTTTTAAAATCATCATTTCTGTCCATGTACCACAACCTCTATTGAACAAATACATTTCAACAGAATAAAATAAGACAATGCCAGTTGACTTCTTTTGGAAATATGTTTATTCAGAAGTTTCTAAAAGCATCTAAAAGGAAACAGAAGTCAGCCATGGTTTGAGGGATGGAAAGAGTTGTGATAATATCTTCTTACAAATGAACAGTTTTGAAAGAAGTATATATATTTCCAATATATATATTGGCTACCATTTCACTGTTTATTGCTTTAATAAGAGTTTTATCCTGGTTTTCAATCTTAACAAAATTCAAAGCATGGTATTTAAACTTAACTACAGTCAAATATGATAACCCAAATTCAGAAGAACCCCGCAGATTTAGCATGAAAATTTATTTTACTGGATTAAAAAAAAAAATCAAATACAATAACTAAAATCTCTCTATTATTCTGAAAACTGACCTTGTAGAGAAATAACCATCTGTCTCTTTCTGCTAGCAGATAAAATCAAGTATTTAGTAAGCATAACAATGTACCAGAGAATATGAACAGTTATTAATTGGAACACCATTTTTTTTAGCTACCCATAACTGGAACCCATAATCCTAACATACAGTACATGTGCTTTTGCTGACATATGATTCTAACAACAAACGATGATGTGACTATTTTTTCTGAGAATGGCATTAAGCAAACTGACATGGATAGAAATCAACCATCCAAAAATATATTTAAAATGTTTTATTTTCAGGCTTTCACTGATATTTTAGGGGTTCAAAAATAGGAGGCATCACCCTCA